GGTGATAATGAAAATGGCCCATTTCCAGCACTTGATAAGGAGATATAAGGAACAAAGTAAAACTATTTCCCCATGCTTATCTCACCCCCCCCCCCCCAGTTCTTTATATCTCCTTGTCAAGTCCTGGAAATGGGCCATTTTCATTACCACAACAAACAGTTATTTTTCTCTCCTGCTGACAACAGCTCACCTTAACTGATCACTCTCCTTATAACCTGTATGGTAACACCCATTGTTTCATGTTCCCTGTGTATAGATCTAGATCTAGATCTTCCTTCTGTATTTTCCACTCCATGCATCCAAAGAAGTGGGCTGTAGCCCACGAAAGCTACCTGAGCCAGGAGGGGGCTGGGAGAAGTGACACCTGCCCGGGAACTGGACAAAGGAGAGGAGGAGCTGGGGGGACGGGGGAGAGAGCTGCTGGAGGAGTTGTTAGTTTCAGTTTGGGCTGGGTGGTGCAACGCAGGGAACCCCAAGCTGGGGTCTAAGCTCCCTGCACCCCCCAGAAGGACTTGACTGAGGGTCCCGGTTGTATCTACAAGCTCTGCTGTAGACTGCGATCCTACTGTCCACTAACCCTTCCATTTTACTGGCTGGCTGAGAGTCCCAGTGAATCCCAGGAAGGGGGGTGCCGGGCCCTGACTCCCCCACACTCCGTGACAGGGGTGAGCGCAGAGCGTGGCCGGTGGGGCCGGGGCCGGAGCAGCACCTAAGACGGAGCCGCGGCCCCTCTACTCACAGAGGACAGTGAGTCTGGCAGACGTGCATTTTACGGCGGGGATGCCGGAGTCAGGCCTTGCTTTACACGTGAACTCCCTCCCGTCGTCTTCCTCGCCAGCCATCAGATGGAGCTGCACAAGGGGCTGGGCGGGGGGGCTGGAGACCAGGACTCGCTCGGCGTCTCTGAGCTGGAGCAGGACGCCCGGGGGGTCGGCCTCAGGAGAACGGCACGTAACGGTCACGCTGCTGTTAACGAGGGTCCGGGACTCGGTTACCTCCAGGACGGGCTCAGGGAGACCTGCAAAGGACCGGGACAGAGCTGCTGTTTGGCCCGGGCTGCCGATCCCCGTCCGAGGGGGAGCACGCTGGCTCCCCGGCAGGACGCTTCGCTCGAGACCGGGCGGTGAGATGGCCGAAGTCAGCTCGGCGCTGGACACACCTGGCCCGTTCAAGTTAACACCCAGACCCCGAAGGGAGTTAGGCCCAGATCCCATGGGAGTTAGGCACCTAAGTACCTTTGAGTACCTGGGCCCAAATTTCTCCCGCAGGTTGCTCCACGCATGGACTGGTACCTAAATCCCCATGGCTCCCCCGCACCTCCCCTCCAGCTCCGGCCGGTGAGGGCTCCGTTCTCTGGCAGCGCCCGCTCCTCATGCCCTGCATCAGGGTACGAACCTGCCTCTCCCTAGTGGGGCAGGCCGGGCCAGGAGCAGACTGACCCGGGTCTCCGCATGGCCGGGGGCGGCTCAGTGGCCTCGCCCGCTCCCTTCCAGCCCAGCACGGCTGACTCTCTGGAGCCGCTGGGAGGAATTCCCTGGCCTGGGCTACGCACCCGCTCGGCCGCGATGACAGACTGGTTTGTTGGGAGCACCCCGGCTCAGTGGAGCGCCTGTGTGGGAGGGGGGCCAGGTCAGAGCCCCACAGAGGGGTGTCGGGGGACGAGTCCCAGGCCAGGCTAGGACTGGGCGTGGGAGCAGGGAGGGGATCTGGTGCGGGGGGGGACCCGTGGGAAATCGGGCCGGGGGGGCTGAGTTCTGCTCTGGGCTTGGAGCGAGTTTCAGCCTGAAAACTCAGATGGAAAGTCCACGGGGAGGAACCGACGTGAACTGAAAGCAGCCCCCACGGGAGCTGAACCCACAGAGATCTGCCCAGCCTCCGCGCCAGCCCGGCCCACAGTGCCGATGTCCCCCGCCGAGCCCCCGAGCCCCCGAAATCCGGGCAGGCCGGGAGCCCCCCAGACACTCACGGTAAACGAGAACGCTCTGCCCTGCGGATCTGGACACGGGCCCCACGGACACGGTGCAGTTCAGCTGGTGCTGTCCCGGGGACGGGGACCGAACCTCGCCCTGGGCGGTGGCCGTGTCGCCCGACGTGGTGACGGTGAAGTTCAGGCTCTCTCCCCCAAAGGACAGGTTGAACCGGGCCTCTCCCGCGACGGGGAAGACCCCGGCCACCCTACAGCGGGCGAGTGCCCTGGTGCCCACCTCGATATAGTTGGAGGTTTGGAGCCATGGCTCCTCTGGGAGATCTGCAGCGGGCGAGAAAACCACCGCGGGGCATGAGGGAAACATCAGCAAAGGGAGCCCCTTGGGACCCTGTGAAGAACTGGGACTGCTCGTAATGTGGTCTGTGAATGCTGAGTGGGGAGATTGGCTGGGGGGCTGCATTGGGGGATGGGAGACTGGCCTTGAGGGAGGATACCTGAGCATGTACCGTGAGAACCCAGGAGGGGGCTGGGGCCAGGTGACACCTCTGCCCGGGAAATGGACAAAGGCTGGGGGAGGAGCTGGGGGGAGGCTGAGTGAGACGCTGGAGGGGGTTAGAGTTTTGGAGCTGGCTGGTGAAATGGAGGGGGCCCCAGACGGGGCTCTGCCCCCCAACGGGGCTGTGTGTCCCTGGGGCCCCTAGATGGACCAAACTAAGGGGGTCCTGATGTCTGTACCTGCAAGACCTGTCTTGGGCCGTGTTCCTATCGTCTAAATAAACATTCTGCGTTACTGGCTGGCTGAGAGTCATGGCGAATCGCAGGAAGTGAGGGGTGCAGGGCCTTGTGTCCCCCCACACTCCGTGACAGACTCAGCGAGGAAATCCAGAGACGCGGCGACAATGGGGGCTGAGATGCAGTTTGCTCCCGATCTAACTACCAACCTGTTTATCCAGCCCCGTGCTGTCCCACCCCAGTCCTCTAGCCCCATCTCGGGTCTCTCTATCTCCCCACTGTCCCCTGCAGCTGTCTGTCCATCCCCTGCCCAGACTGCACCCCTCTATCTTCCTATCCAGTCACAAACTGCACACACACACTTCTCCCTCCATCCCCATACCCCGCCCCCAGCTGGTGTGCAGCTCGGAGGCGCCTTCCCCATCGCTAGGAGAAGTGGTTAGAGGCGGCCGTTAACGCCGTTCCCCTCCCGACACAACTGTTCCGACTTTAGTGTTACAGGCGTTTCCTGCTGGGCCTGGGGTCTCCCAGCCACCTGCTTCCCCAGCGAGGCAGAGCTCAGCTGCAGCCAGACGTCCCTCCGGCCAAGGACACGGGAAATTCCAGCCCTGGACGTCCTGGGGGTGTCTGCCCCGCTCCGGAGGCCTCCCTCCCTCTGATCCTTGCTCTCCGGAGAGCAGCTGGTGTGCGCATGGGAGGGCCCCATGCTGCCAGCACAGAGGCCATGAACCCCCAGGCTCTTGGCACTGCCCAGCATCCCGAGGGTTAACGGGGGCTCCCCGGGGGCAAAGGGGTAAAGCAGCAGCGAGGAGCCCCAGGGCTCCGGGTCCTGCACTCCAGGCCTAGACGCTGTGCTCCAGATCAGGTGTGTTCTGTGTGGCCCCGTTCAGGCTCATCTGCTCGGCCGGCTTGCCCTGCTCGGCCTGCTTGGCCTGCTGCCGTCTGAGCCGGTATTTTCGGATTCTCGTGGAGCGGTAGTACATGTAGCCCCCCACGCCTAGTCCGGTCAGAGCAGCAAACGCACCTACGAGCCCCAGTGCCAAACCCAGGATGTTGAGATCTGTTAAAGAAGGAGTGAGGTTGAGAAGGGCTAAGAGCTGGTTCAGACTCATGGGTAGGGCAGGGGGCAGAGGACTGGGACTCAGGACACCTGGATTCTACTCCCCTCAGCCACTGGTCTTGGGTAAGTACCTCACCCGCTCAGTGCCTCAGTTTCCCCTTCCACTCTGCCTGGTTAGATGGTGAGCTCTCTGGGGCAGGGACTGTCTCTCACGCTGGGTCTGGGCAGCGCCCGGCACGACGGGGCCCTGATCTCAGTCGGGGTCTGAGCAGCGCCCGGCGCAATGGGGCCCTGATCTCGGCTGGGGTCTGGGCAGCGCCCAGCGTGACGGGGCCCTGATCTCGGTCGGGGTCTGGGCAGTGCCCGGTGCAATCTGGCCCTGATCTCGGCTGGGGTCTGGGCAGTGCCCGGTGCGACGGGGCCCTGATCTCGGTTGGTGTACTGTCATATTACACATAATTAGTAGGAGGACGAGTTGGGACAGAGATGAACCTGAAAACCGCCAGACTGCAGGACGCTGGACCCATCCCTGCTCACTCCGGGGTGGGAGTGATGCCTGGACGCACCCCCTGAGCCTGGGGGCGGGGGGCTGTGCCCTGGCCAAGCCTCCGGAGCACAAGCCACACCGATGGAACAGCCAGATGGGATCACTGGGCCTGCCAGTCTGCCCTCCAGCAGGACGCCAGGCCAGAGAATGGCAGCCCGGATCCCTGTACTGAGCCCCCGCGGCTTTGGGGGGTGTTTGGGCTCCTAAATCCCATGGAAAGTCAATGGGATTTTACCAAAGAGACCCATTAACCTGTGCTCCTAAATCCCTTTGTCGCATTTGCATGCCCACCCTCCAAGTCGCCTGCTGGAGGATCCACCAAAGGCCACTTACATTCCACCTGGACGGTCACATCCCGGCTGGCCGAGCCGTGCGCGTTGGATGCTTTGCAGTGGTAGGTCCCGGCGTCCTCTCTCCTGACCTGCCGCTGCACCCCGATGCTGGCAGATACCCCGTCCTTCGTGCACACCACGGTTGGCGCTGGGTTCCCCCGGGCCAGGCAGGAGAAGGTTTCCTCCGTCCCCTCCTTCCAGATCCACTCCCTGGGGCAGCCGGAGTCGTCCATCCTGGGCCCGTCTGGAAGCGAGAGGGGGCGGTTGGTTACGCTGCCCAGGGCCGTGTAGCCCCATCTCCTGCCCACCCCGGGGCTGCTGCCAAGGACGGCGGCTCTCCCCTGCCACAGGCGCCTCCTCGCTGGGCTCTCCCCACTGCCCTGCCTGGCACCAGCAGGCCTTGCCCTGGGGCAGCACAGGGGGCCCGGCGTGCAAGGCAACGGCCTGGACTTGGGAGCTCTGGGGTCAAGCCCTGCCTCTGCCATGGCCGCCCGGTGTGACCTGGATCTGAGCCAAAACCTGATAAAGTCACGAGAAGGCCTCAGGTTCCCCATCTGTAAAATGGGGCCAGGGGTTCCTCCTGTCTCATTAGCCTGGGAACATTCCCTGGGGCAGGACTGTATCTGTGCAGCACCCGGTGCGACGGGGCCCTGATCTCGGGTGGGGTCTGGGCAGCACCCGGCACGACGGGGCCCTGATCTCGGGTGGGGTCTGGGCACCGCCCGGCGCGACGGGGCCCTGATCTCGGCTGGGGTCTGGGCCCTGATATGCTAATACTAAGAACTGATTGGACCCAGTGCATTTCTCTGGCCGCTTCTGCACAGGAATGGCCGCCCCAGGTCGCAGGCACAAGAGAGTCACTGTCCCAGCCGAAAGAAGAATTAGAGACTAACACATTTATTGTAGCATAAGCTTTTGTGGGCTACAGCCCACTTCATCGGATGCATGTAGTGGAAAATACAGAAGGAAGATCTAGATATAGATCTATACACAGGGAACATGAAACAATGGGTGTTACCATACACATTATAAGGAGAGTGATCAGTTAGGTGAGCTGTTGTCAGCAGGAGAGAAAAAGAACTAGTTTGTGGTGATAATGAAAATGGCCATTTCCTAGCACTTGATAAGGAGGATATAAGGAACAAAGTAAAACTATTTCCCCATGCTTATCTCACCCCCCGCCCCCCCAGTTCTTTATATCTCCTTGTCAAGTGCTGGAAATGGGCCATTTTCATTACCACCACACACAGTTATTTTTCTCTCCTGCTGACAACAGCTCACCTTAACTGATCACTCTCCTTATAACCTGTATGGTAACACCCATTGTTTCATGTTCCCTGTGTATATATCTATATCTAGATCTTCCTTCTGTATTTTCCACTACATGCATCCGAAGAAGTGGGCTGTAGCCCACGAAAGCTACCTGAGCCAGGAGGGGGGTTGGGAGAGGTGACACCTGCCCGGGAACTGGACAAAGGAGAGGAGGAGCAGAGGGGAGGGGGACAGAGCTGCTGGAGGAGTTGTTAGTGTCAGTTTGGTGCTGGGTGGTGCAACGCAGGGAACCCCAAGCTGGGGTCTAAGCTCCCTAAACCCCCAGAAGGACTTGACTGAGGGGTCCCGGTTGTACCTACACGCTCTGCTGCAGACTGCGTTCCTACTGTCCACTAACCCTTCCATTTTACTGGCTGGCTGAGAGTCCCGGGGAATCCCAAGAAGAGGGGTGCCGGGCCCTGACTCCCCACACTCCGTGACAGGGGTGAGCGCAGAGCGTGGCCGGTGGGGCCAGGGCCAGAGCAGCACCTAAGACGGAGCCGCGGCCCCTCTACTCACAGAGGACAGTGAGTCTGGCAGACGTGCGTTTCACGGCGGGGATGCCGGAGTCAGGCCTTGCTTCACACGTGAACTCCCTCCCGTCGTCTTCCTCGCCAGCCGTCAGATGGAGCTGCACAAGGGGCTGGGTGGGGGCGCTGGAGACCAGGACTCGCTCGGCGTCTCTGAGCTGGAGCAGGACGCCCGGGGGGTCGGCCTCAGGAGAACGGCACGTAACGGTCACGCTGCTGTTAACGAGGGTCCGGGACTCGGTTACCTCCAGGACGGGCTCAGGGAGACCTGCAAAGGACCGGGACAGAGCTGCTGTTTGGCCCGGGCTGCCGATCCCTGTCCGAGGGGGAGCACGCTGGCTCCCCGGCAGGACGCTTCGCTCGAGACCGGGCGGGTGAGATGGTTGAAGCCAGCTCGGGGCTGGACACACCTGGCCCGTTCAAGTTAACACCCAGACCCCGAAGGGAGTTAGGCCCAGATCCCATGGGAGTTAGGCACCTAAGTACCTTTGAGTACCTGGGCCCAAATTCCTCCCGCAGGTTGCTCCACGCATGGATTGGTACCTAAATCCCCATGGCTCCCCCCGCCTCTCCCCTCCAGCTCCGGCCGGTGAGGGCTCCGTTCTCTGGCAGCGCCCGCTCCTCATGCCCTGCGTCAGGGTATGAACCTGCCTCTCCCTAGCAGGGCAGGCCGGGCCAGGGGCAGACTGACCCGGGTCTCCGCATGCGGGGGCGGCTCGGTGGCCTTGCCCGCTCCTTTCCAGCCCAGCGCGGCTCTGACTCTCTGGAGCCGCTGGGAGGAATTCCCTGGCCTGGGCTACGCAGCCGCTCGGCCGCGATGACAGACTGGTTTGTTGGGAGCACCCCGGCTCATGGGAGCGCCTGTGTGGGAGGGGGGCCAGGTCAGAGCCCCACAGAGGGGTGTCGGGGGATGAGTCCCAGGCCAGGCTAGGACTGGGCGTGGGAGCAGGGAGGGGATCTGGTGTGGGGGGGACCCGTGGGAAATCGGGCCGGGGGGGCTGAGTTCTGCTCTGGGCTTGGAGCGAGTTTCAGCCTGAAAACTCAGATGGAAAGTCCACGGGGAGGAACCGACGTGAACTGAAAGCAGCCCCCACGGGAGCTGAACCCACAGAGATCTGCCCAGCCTGCGCGCCAGCCCGGCCCACAGTGCCCACGTCCCCCGCCGAGCCCCCGAAATCCGGGCAGGCCGGGAGCCCCCCAGACACTCACGGTAAACGAGAACGCTCTGCCCTGCGGATCTGGACACGGGCCCCACAGTCACGGTGCAGTTCAGCTGGTGCTGTCCCGGGGACGGGGACCAAACCTCGCCCTGGGCAGTGGCCGTGTCGCCCGACGTGGTGACAGTGAAGTTCAGGCTCACTCCCCCAAAGGACAGGGTGAACCGGGCCTCTCCCGCGACGGGGAAGACCCCGGCCACCCAACAGCGGGCGAGCGGCCTGGCGCCCACCTCGATATAGCGGGAGGTTTGGAGCCATGGCTCCTCTGGGAGATCTGCAGCGGGCGAGAAAAACCACTGCGGGGCATGAGGGAAACATCAGCAAAGGGAGCCCCTTGGGACCCTGTGAAGAACTGGGACTGTTCGTAATGTGGTCTGTGAATGCTGAGTGGGGAGGTTGGCTGGGACGGTCTGCAGGGGGGGATGGGAGACTGGCCTTGAGGGAAGATACCTGAGCACGTAAGGTGAGAACCCAGGAGGGGGCTGGGGCCAGGTGACACCTCTGCCCGGGAAATGGACAAAGGCTGGGGGAGGAGCCGGGGGGTGGCTGAGTGAGACACTGGAGGGGGTCAGAGTTTTGGAGCTGGCTGGTGAAATGGAGGGGGCCCCAGACAGGGCTCTGCCCCCCAACGGGGCTGTAGTGTCCCTGGGGCCCCTAGATGGACCAAACTAAGGGGGTCCTGATGTCTGTACCTGCAAGACCTGTCTTGGGCCGTGTTCCTATCGTCTAAATAAACCTTCTGCGTTACTGGCTGGCTGAGAGTCATGGTGAATCGCAGGAAGTGAGGGGTGCAGGGCCTTGTGTCCCCCCACACTCCGTGACAGACCCAGCGAGGAAATCCAGAGACAAGGCGACAACGGGGGCTGAGATGCAGTTTGCTCCCGATCTAACTACCAACCTGTTTATTCAACCCCGTGCTGTCCCACCCCAGTCCTCTAGCCCCATCTCGGGTCTCTCTATCTCCCCACTGTCCCCTGCAGCTGTCTGTCCATCCTCTGCCCAGACTGCACCCTTCTATCTTCCTATCCAGCCCCAAACCGCACACACACACTTCTCCCTCCATCCCCATACCCCGCCCCCAGCTGATGGACCCATCACTGCCCTTCCTGGCCCCGTTCCACACCCTGCTGTCACCAAAGCCCTGTAGCAGCCCCGAGAGCGCTCTGCCCTCCTCTGCTCCCGCCAGGCCACGCCCCAAAGGGGACGAGGCATCTGGAGGGGAAGGTTGAAAAAGGGGAAGAAACCATCACCCCGAAGGGGAAGCAGGAGCCTGACGCCGCACGAGGCCCAGTCCCACAGCGACTGAGTGCTGTGGGGGTGAGACAACCCACCCCCTAGGGACCCTCCCTCTGACGGGTGGGCGGGGGGCCCCACCCTAGGCTCAGACAGTACCTTGGCCCCCACCCCCGGCACTTTGGCCATGTGACTACCCGTTCCCCCTCTATGTAGGGCATGGGAGATGGGTGGCATCCCTTTAAATCGCTGTGACCCCTCCACGGGCGCTCACCGTGCTCTGCGTGTTGGAAGCCAGCCCCAGCTGGGCCTGGTGGGGCTGGGGGGACTCGCAAACAGGGTGCTGGGACCTCACGCAGTAGGTGTGTAAAGAACAGGAGACGCATCAGTCTGCGTTAGGGGAGCTCCCAAAGGGGTCGCCCGGGACATCTCGGCCACCTGGGAGAACAGATCTCAGCCCCCAACCTGGGACCGGCATCGACGGGCCCAGGACAGCAGGGAATCCATCCTGGCCAGGGAGCATTTGGTGCCCGTTTGTGGGGGGGTGAATGTCGGCAGGGGGTGCAGGGAGCGGGGCCGTCAGGCAAAGCCCCTGTGTCCCCTGAACGGCCAGCCCCCGGAGCGGTGTGTCTGGTGCACGGAGCGGTGTGTCTGGTGCATGGAGCAGTGTCTATGGTGCATGGAGCGTGTCTCTGGTGCACGGAGGAACGGTGTGTATGGCGCACGGAGCATGTGGGAACTCACCATAAACCTTGAGTTCCACCGCAGAGGAGCTGTTTTTGAAGTGGGACCCGTGCAGGTCCAGGGCGGTGTGGCAGGTGATCTCCTGCCCGTGGTCCGATCGCTGAGGGGTGATCTCCGTGATCACTGTGATGTCATCGGGTCCGGTCCCGGTGTGGTTCTGGAAGGTCTCCGTGTGCAGGGTCTCTCCTCCCCGCCGGAGGGTCACGGTGAGGTGTGTGACGGGAGCCACGTTCAGAACCCAGCACGTCACGTTATAGGCCTGGCCCAGCTCCATCTCGGGGAGCGGCTCCAGCACCACCCGCTCCGGCGCCCCTGGAGCCAGAGGGGGAAGCACCCGAAGGTCGGTTAATTGGATCCCATAGACCCGGGTGCTGCTGAAAGGCGCCGCTGGGGGAAGAGCCTGGCAGGTGCATCCCCGCGCCCCAGGCCGGCTGAGCCCTGCCCCGGAGGGGACCCTGCTGGCGGCGAGAGCCAGGCTCAGTCTCGCTGACCGGCCGGCAGGGGCTCGAAGTGGGGCAGGGGGTTGGGATGTGGATTCCTGCCCTGCCAGGAGCCGGACTGAGCCCCACCAACTCCTCCCACCCAACGGCTGCCAGGGGGTAACTCCACGCAGGTGCTGCCTGGCTTAATGGAGCGGAGCCAGTGTCCCCAGAGGGGAAAGGCCCGTGTCCCATTCTCTGCCCCCGGAGCCAGCCAGTCCCCTGCCCTAGGGCCAGAGCACAGCCTTGTACCCTAGTTCTGCCAGCGACTTTTCCCTTTCTCTAGCTCTGCCCTGCACCAGAAAGTGTCAGTGGCACAAAAGCCCCCCCCAGACCCACTGCAGCTGGGAGCCAGCGGCACTTACGGTAAGCGGAGATGTTTGCAGTCACCAGCTTTATAGTTCCACCGCAGGTGAAGTAGCACTGAGGGGACGACGCCCACTCCTTGATATTGACGAGGCGAAAGGCTACCCAGCTGGATCCATTTTTCCTATCGGTTTTGATGAGCGAGGTCTCGAGGCCGCCGCTGGCACCAGGAACCTGGCACGTGGTGCTGCAGTTTATCCAGACGGACCCTCCGTGCTCCACCATGGCAGCTTCCGGCGAAACGCTCACCTCAAACGAGCCCTGCGCGGCCCCTGAAACAGCAAACACCCCCGTCACGCTGCGCCCCTGGGGCACACTCACGGCAACGCAGCGTGCGAGACCCACAGCCCAAGTGGGTGAGCTCAGCCCTGGAAACCCCTTTCCCTGGCGGGGACTGCTCCTTGGCGAGGCGCAGGCTGTTTTGGCTGGACAGGGCCGGGCGGTCTGTACTGCGGCCCGAGGGGGCTGCGCCTAGCTGCTCCTCTTAGCCAGGCACCGGGCGAGCGACGGCCACAGCGTCACCTTGGCTTTGAAAAGTCCCGGGTTCGGTTCGCTCCCGGCCCCAGGCGCAGTGGAGGGCTGGAGCGACGGGGAAGCACTTTCCAGAGAACCACGTGGTGCTAACGGGGTGCCTTTCCCAGGGCAGGAGGTCCCCGGTTCTGCAGGGACCCATGAGAATATCCCCACCCAGCCCGTTGCTCCCAGCAGCCCTTCGCCGCAGGTGCCAACAGGCGCTCTCTCTCTCTCTCTCTCTCTCGATTACCGTGAACCTGGCTGAATACTGCACACCCCCAGGCGCCCCCTCATCTCTGCACTCTGCCCCTCGGCTGCACTGGGGTCCGAGTGAGGCCCACTCTGCCGAGTCCTGGGACTGAGTTGTTTGCTTTCCCAGGTCATGGGAGTGGGGGATTCCTGGCCTCGTGCCCGTCCAGCCACGCCCGCCAGGTACAGGAATTCCAAAGCACCTCCGCGGCGGACTCTGCCCTCGCTTGCCCCAGCCAAACACTTATCCCATGGCAGGAGCCCGGTCTCCCCTTCCACCGGCTCCCCCAGCCCCTGCCCCGCCACAAAGAATTCAGGGTCGGATCCTCAGCTCGTGGGATCAACCCAGCTCCCTCGGCTCAGTGGAGCAAGGCTGATTAACACCCGCCGGGCATCAAGCCCGTAATCTGAAATTGGCAATGACACAGAATAAAGAGTGGGCCAAGCGTGTCCCTGTTGTAATCCCCCTGCAGAACTTGGTCCGGCACAGGGGCTGGGTTTAGTACTCCACAGGCCCAACTCTGGGTCCTCAATCTAGCGAAAACAACCTGTTGAGTCCAATGGGAGTTTTGCTCCAAAAGGGACCGGAGTTTGGCATCATAATTAACAATCCAAAATTATTCATGTCGCGTTCCAGTCCTGGGAGACTGCTCTGGTCCACGACCCCGGCCAGCCGAACAATGGCTTGCAGTGTGTGTGCCAGGAGAAGGAAAACAGTTTCTCTCCCTGCAGCGCGGGGTCACTCCAGTCTGCCAGGTCCACGCAGAATCTGGCCCCAAATCCCCCCAAGACATTTAGGGGCTGATAACCCCCTCTGGCCCGGCTCGCCATGCAGTTTGACCCCAGTGCAAAGTGAGCGTGAAACACTCCTAGATCCAATGGGGGCAGCGCTCCCCTCGGACTTGGGCGGCAGGCCCCCTTCGTCAGCCTCACGCACGGGGCAGATTCCAATCTCAGCTCCCGGCGGCATTGATCCGGAGTCACTCCGGAGGAGGGGAGGAGGCATGGTAACAGCAGGGTGCACAGGAGTGGAATCTGGCTTGTGGGTCTGGAGACTTTTACACACAAACACACACACACTATCTGCACTAGGGACACAAAGACAGCCTCCCCCCCACACACACACTGTATACGCACTAGGGACTAACACACACAGTGTATATTGGAGAGTGTGTCTGTCTGTCTCTCTCTCTCTCTCACACACACACACCACACACACATACACTGTATTCGCACTGGGGACTCACACACACACACACACAGTGTATAACATTGGGGAGTGTGTCTGTTTGTCTCTCTCACACACACACATACACACACTGTATACGCACTGGGGACTCACACACACAGTGCGGGTAGAACACTGGGGACACACTTTGCTTCTCGGCATGAGTATCACTTTGGGAGACGCGCGCACACACACAGTGTATAACATTGGGGAGTGTGTCTGTTTGTCTCTCTCACACACACACATACACACACTGTATACGCACTGGGGACTCACACACACAGTGCGGGTAGAACACTGGGGACACACT